TGGCTTGCTTTCTCTCTTTCTCTCTGTGTGTGTGTGTGTGTGTGTGTGTGTGTGTGTGTGTGTATGGTCAAATTAAAATAAGTGAATGGATAATTAAAAAAAAAAAAGAAAGAATAATATGACCTTCTGAAGTAGGTCATAAACCTTCATTACAGAGGTGCCCACCTTATACCCAGAGGAAAGGAACATCCTTATTCTCAAAGACTCAGAGACGCCAAGAAGAATCTGAACAAACAAGCTCTGCTAAGTCCTACCTGGTTTATTACCATTAGATCATACTCTTTTGTCTTCCAACTATACCTCTGCATGACTGCCTATAGAAACACACGTGTTCCCCTGTTTCTTTGGATCTTCATTTGTGAAGACTCCCTTGTCAAGTAAAGCTTACACGAATTACATTTGTGTGCTTTTCTCTTGTTAATCCGTTTTTCGCTATAGGGGTATCATCTATGAACCTAAAACAGAAAAAAAGGAGGGATTGGATTTGGTTCTCCCCTATAACACTTAAAAGAATATTTTTTGATTTTTAACATCATTTTTGTTAAATACCAATCATGAGTTTTAAAAAAATCTTAATAAGAGAAATAAAATCTGAAAAAAGTAGATGGTTGGGTACCTAGGATTTCTAGAAATAAATTTACTAAATTTTCCGAAGGTGTTTCCTTCAGTATTATTGGTCTGCTTTCCTCAACAGAGAAATCTGAAAGGGAAAAAAAAGTGGAAATTATAAGTAAAGACAGACATAAAATTTTTCCCAGTGAATTATTTTATGTCTTGTTACATAAAATATTAACTGCAGACATTTTCTTATCCATTCAAAAGTATTGTATAAAAATTTAGAGAACTGCACAACAATTGATATAGTAGACAAATTTTAGAAGTGAAGAACCTGGCAATTAAAAAGAATACATTTCAGCCCCTGACTCATGGTTTAAATTACTAATTTTATCTTAGGTTGAAATTGCCTTCTATTGTTTCCAGTTATCATAACTGCAATTCTTTTGGAGAATCTATTTAGTGAGAACCTTCATAGAGTAGGTAATTATTATTTTCATTGGTGTGTGGAATGCACTCAGGATTTATACTCACTTTCATTTGTCCAAGTCATTACCATTATTGGTTAAGTATGATGTATACTCTAAGGAATGTTAATTCCCTATTTGAAGAAACTGAGGCATAATACTTGTCCGGGCAGTGAGTGACAGAGCAAAAAATGAATAACAACTGAATTTGGCAATCTCAATCCTGGGGGAAACTAATTTATAGTAGTTATTTTGTCTCTATTAATTCTTTACCTTTTATTCATGTATTTTTTCTTAGGCATCAAGATATTTTAGAAGATGCTTAGTCATTGGATACATGATGAGATTGTCCTGTGGGTGCTTTGGAAAATTCTGGTCTCAGTACAGCTTGACATATGTCAGTCAGAAACAGAAAGCCTGCCATCAATTGAAGATAAAATGAAATACAGAATTCATGTGAGTACACAGTTGCAGGGACAGATTGAGCATCCACTTCTTTCATGTCATTGTACTCTAAAGTTACTAACTACTCACAGGCTGAAAGGACAAGAATCTAATAAGAGACTTTCCATTTACAATCTGCTCTAGGGCAACAGGAATTCTATCAGCAAAGAAATTCCAAAAGAAAAGTTCAGAGGAGTTCCATGCTTCCTATTGCAAAGGAGAAAGCCACAAAGCTAAATGAAATACCAGATGAAATAATGTCCTGGTTGCACATGAAACAGAACAAGGGAAAAGCACAAGGCAGTCAGGAATATGCACATTTTAGCTTAAATATTTGAAAATGGAGGCATATGAGAAAAAATAACACCCTACAGAAATAGTTTTTTTATCAGAGTGATAACTTGTTTTTTTTTTTTTTATTTTTATTTTTATTATCATTATAATCTTCTTTATATTACATTGGATTACATATAACTTTACATTGTATTACATTGTTTTTTCAAAAGGGAATGCCATGCATGTCAGTCAGTACAGAGACATTAATCTCCCCACTTCAACATTCAATATCTTTTCTGTTTTCCCCAATCATTATTTTTATTATTCTAATTATTTTTATAAAACAGTCAATTGTTATTTCTCGTTTTGCTTGTAAAAATACTTTGCCCATCATGAAATACTTCTCAGACCAAGCCAGTTGAGAATACTATACATGTCATCATCAACAGTTAATAACCCCTATCTGTTTCTCACTAACGTCCTGTCTCTCTATTGTTCACTTGCTATCTTTCTCTATCCTCTTCTCTTCACTTACCCCATTCCACACTGTCCTATTCTCATTAAGTACCTTCACTGTGTTTATGTCCTCCGAATTTTTGCTCTCTATTATAGAGTGCGGATAGTCGGTATATATTGAGTGGATACATACAATATCTTTCTTTCATAGCCTGGCTTACTTCACTCAGCAATAGATCCTCCGTATCTGACCATTTTCTATCAAATTCCAGGGCAGAGTGATAACTTGTTATGCTGGGAAAATACAAGAGTAAGCATTTATCCTTTCGTGCAATAAAATGACTTTGATATGTGTAATAGAGTGTGGTTTATAAGATGTGTCCATTCAGCCATTTCAACTTGATATATGATTATTGATGCTAATTTGGTAATCTAATCCCAAAGTAGCATGCCCAGCATTATAATTTCAAATATATGTATTGCATGGTGTGTATGTTGAAATATGAGGATCATTCTCTCATAGTTTTCGTTTTATAAGAGAAGAATGAAGAAGGAGCAGAAAACTTGAGTTGTTATTATATCTCTCTTCCCCAGAATTCTATGTTGAAGGCCTAACCTCCAATACCTCAGAATATGATGGTATTTGGAGGCAGCATCTTTTAAGAGATAAATTAAAATGAGATGTTTGGGGTGAGCCAATCCAATATAACTATTTTTTTTTTAAATAGGAGATTAGACTACAGACAACACAGAGAGATGACCATGGGGAATACAGTGAGCAGGCCATCTGCAAGCCAAGGAAAGAAACCTCTGAATAAAACCAAACTACTGAACACTTGTTCTTGGATTTCTACCTTCTAGAACTGTAAGAAAATTAATTTCTGTTGTTTAAGCCACCCAGTTTATAGTATTTTACTATGATAGCCCTAGCGAACTAATATAATTCCCAATACACATTTAAATTCATCTTTATATTGCTAAATCAAGATATTAGAAAAAGCAGGGAGTTTGGGAAATACACCAAAAATAATCATCATTATCAAGAACAATTCCCTTGGGAATGGAGGAAAAGGAGGAAACAGTAAAGGCTTTGTGGATGAAATGGCATTTGGACATTAGGGATAAGGTTTTTCCTATAACAAGAAAAAAATGCAAACCACTGTCATTCAGGCAACACTGAATACTGAGACCCAGTTCATTAAAATCCAAACATACTAAGTGTACCTCTCGCTCTGGCAAAAAGAAGATTTGGGTCATGAGATTTGCCCCAAAATTCAGTAAAAGAAAAAAAAATGGTTAGAACTTATTGGGGAATAAACAAATTTCAAAGAATTATTAAGACAGTTAAGAAAACTATTGATGAGGCCAGAAGGTGGCATGGTAGTTGAGGTGCTCGGCTCCCACATGGCCAATCACGGCTGGAGTCCTGGATCTGGTGACTTGAGAATCATGCTGAGCACATATGTATGTATGCCCCAAATCCCAGGAAGAATGGAGAAAACAGGGTTGTGGCATGGCCATCCCCCATGGGGAGAGGAGGGTGATTTTTCAATTTCTCCCTTTGTCTCTCTCCAGTGAGCAATCGCACCCTATGGGAAAACAAAACAAAACAACACAAACTACTGATTTTGGCAACGTGTTTTCAATTAGTAAATGATAAGGCAATATATGATAGCATAATTATTGAAATCATTAAATTTTAAACTTGTTTCATACCCAGACTTAGTGCATCCAGTTTCACCTCTTTATTAAATCCTGACAGCAGGCAATAAGTTCATTTAGCCAGGGTTCTCTCTGTTATGAGCAACAACTATCTTATCCAAGAAGCTTAGGCAAGAAAAGGGAAATTTATTGGTTCTTATGACTAAGATTCAGGAGTCATGATGAATTCCCAGGTGCAACTCAAATTATGTCTCATGTGAAATTTAAATTTTTTAACATTAGTGGCTATTTGTATTGTTTTCTTTCCATAGCTGAATCCATGTAGCCATGAGTGCTCAACGTACATAACTGTTGAATAATTTACTTTCAGTGGCATTCTAAATATATGTAACATTTATTCTTTTGTTTGTAGAGCTAATGTAGATAGTGTGTTATATATTGCATTATGAGCAATAATTGAGGTGTGTGAACATGTTCAGCTTGGCGTAGAGTAAATACAGAGCTGTGATTCTTTCCTAAGGACAAAAAAGTCACTGCAATATTTTATTCTAGTGTATACAAGGTGTGGAAGTAATTGGTGAATAATTCCAAGTGTGTCACATATACATTGACCTCACAGGGACTAAAGTTCACCCGAAATATCAAACAAGCAAACTTATATTTCTATTTCTCACTTAGCTTGATTCAGGATATGACAGAAATCACTAGTTAATCAGATTAAAAATATTAATTAACTGTTTTCTTACATATAATTTGTACAATTCTTGGTTTGCTAAGTCAAAAAAAGTTTTAACTTCATTATAATCTAATGGAATTGATATTACACGACAAGTTTTTACTCCATTGTGATCTACTCATTTTACTAAAGGGATTTATGTTTTATTCTGCCATATAAAATTAAAATTTTATTTTTATGTCTCTTTTTTAATGGAATTGATATTACACGACAAAAGTGCCACCAAATACTAATGCAATACAGAAGTTCAGTGGTTTAAAAAACTAGTAAGGTAAGGTATGTCTAAGGTAAATGGATTAAAATTGTACTTACAGGCTATTCATTCAGTGTTAATGTTATATTTGATCTTTATTTTATGCAATAGAAATATATATATATATATATATATAGGGTCTAAATTTGAGAACAGACTGAAATTAAGTGACTGAGATTTTTGATAAGGTGATAATATTTTCTAGACATCTCTCATCAATGTAAAATTAAGTAGATAATATATAAGCATTATCTGTATCAGCCGGTGACATGATGATTAAGACGGCTGTACTGCACATGGTCAACCGAGTAATTCGAGTTCTGGACCAGCAGCCTGAAGAACTTGCTGGGTGTGTGTGCATGCATGCCCAAAACCCTAAGAGGAGAATGGAGAAGAGATTGTAGCATAGTCATCTACCTTGGGTATGCTTGCTCTCTCTCTCCCTCTCTGTCTCTGTGTCTCTCTCCAGAGAGTGCACGTGCCTTATAGCAAATTTTTTAAAAAGTATTTAATATTTCACAATACTCTTATATCGGGATTTATAATAGATTTGGAAGTTTGCTTCAAATCATATGGGATTTCAATATGAGCATAACTAGAAAGGATTAACTATTAAGCAAATAAATTTCAACTAAGTTGCGACTTGGTTACTCAGGATCTGATCATCTAGCCTGTAACTTTTACACACCATGTCCTTTTCTCTATCTGCCTGACATTTCATCATGCTTCCCTTTCTAAAGCTATCTTTGCCAATTTAAACTTCTAAGCTCTGAACTGTACTCTGTAGAATGAAAACCACCAGCTAAATGTAACTATTCACCACAGATAGTCATCTAAAGTTCCTGATAACTGAATTTTTTTGCCTAAGGGCACATACGATTGGCAGGGAGAGACAGACACACAGAGAAAGATAGAGAAGGAGAAACACCCTTCAATGGTGCATGGTTGCACCACAATCCCTTCTCTTCCATTGTTTCCTCCTGTTGGGATTTGGGTACACAGGTACAGGTGCCTAGTATGTTTTCCAAACCTCCTGGGCAGGGAATTGAACTGTGGTCCACCATATGGAATCTGGCTCTATTTAATCACTAGGCTACAGGGTTGGCCCCTTTCTGAATTTGATAAAGGCCAGTTACATGTAATTATCTACATTAATACTATGTGTGTGCATGTGTGTGTGTGTGTGTGTGTGTGTGTGTGTGTAACTGAACTTTCAATAAAAATATCTTTCAATGCCTTGTTTATAAGGTATAAACAAGTCTTTCTAATGTTAAAGACAAAGGATTATCATTGCAAAATGGCTTGGAATTTTACTCACTAGGGATACACCTTGTTAATTCTTTTGCCTTTAAAGTTCTAAATTAAGCTCTCATTAATCTCTTCGCTGGAAAATGGAAATACAATTATTCAAAGCTTTTTTATTGTGTTTTAATCACTAGGGAACACCCCTTTCATATTTTTGAATCGCAGATTCATTCTCCAACTCAGTAAGGCAGTGTGACAAAAAAAAATCTTGCTTTTAGATTTTTATTCTATTCATTATTCATGTATTTATTTATTGTCAAAAGGTGTATCCTCATCATTTCTCAGTAGGACTGAGAAGGGAACAGATGTTTCCTATCATGCACTTCCTCTTAGTCTTCTCTTAGTTTTTGACAGGCTGAAATTAGAGTATTTATCACTGTTGGTATTATGTTTAGTAATTGCTATTTGCCCAATTTGCAAAAACATTATTTTAAAGAGATCTAGCATAATTTAGACTAGGACTCTCTAACTTTACTATCTTGAAAGTTTCTAGTAAAGTACTCAAATAAGTATGTTGAATAATCTTCTACTTTCCACAATGTATAAACATCCAATTGAACTATACCAACAGATTAAAATTTTAAGCATTTAAGGTGTATGTATTAAAACAATAAGAAGGCAAAAATTAGAAGTATTTTGAATCAATAAAAACTTTCCATCTGGAAGGCATGCAACATTATTATTAATATTACAATAACAGCAATGATCATAGTTGGAAATTGTATTTTAATGTATCTTATAATTTATCAAAAATGTAAAAGTGTAACCTTTATCTCTTAATTCCCTCAAAACAGTCTAATGAGTTAGCATAGACATTAGTCATACTTTACCAGTAAGAAGAGAAAAAGAAAGATTGAAAGAACTGGCAGGGTTCACACTAAGAAAACTTCCTTAAATTTGTACTGCTATTTCAGTTTATTAAAAGCAGTTGTATTGTGAGTGCAGCTGATGATGTAATGGTTACATTGCTGGATTCCCACATAGTCGACTGCCATTCCAGTCTCAGATCTGGTGGCTTGAAACTCATGCTGAGAGCGTGTGTTTGTGTGCCCAAAATCCTGAGAGGAGGATGGATGAGAAGGGCCATCCCCCCTCAGGGGTGATTTCTCACTTTCTATCTCTGTGGCAAAAAATCTAAAACAAGCAAACAAAAAGTAATTACATTGAGCCAGATGGTGGCACGGTGGTTAAAGCAGCTGGATCCCACATGACAGACTGTGCAGTGTGAGTCCTGGACCCAGTGGCCTGAAAAACACACCAAATGTATGTACATCCATGCCCAAAATCCCACAAGGATTAGGGCGTAGAGGAGAAGAGATTACTGTGTGGCCATCTCCCCTGGTAAGTTCTTTTTCACTCTTTTGTCTCTCTTTTTGGTGAGCACATGTGCCCTATACAAAAAAATAAATAAATACATAAATAAAAAGTGTTATCCTTTGACCTAGGACAAATCCTGCCATTCATATATGTATAATAAGCTCGGAGTGTTGGACAAAAGGGTGGGATGTTCCCTAAATGTGAAGGAAGAATGGAAGTCAAACCTTCAAATATATTCTTACAGCACTTAGTTAAGACATTGCAATTAGAGTACTGGCATTTGTTTTGTATGAGCTATTTCTAAATTTCTCTTTACCAAAACAATTTATCTCTATTTTTAGTAGACAATGAGTTGTCATAGGGTGTGGATTGTACTTTTTTGCTTCAAATAGCTTTTTAAAAATAAATTATTTGGGACCAGCAGTTGGTGCAATGGCTATGTCGCTGGCCTCCCATGTGGTTCACCGCAGTTCGAATCTTGAACCCGGTGGCTTAAACTATCACTGGGTATGTGTATGCGTGTGCCCAAGATCCTGAGAGTAGAATGGAGGAGAAGGGATTGTGGCATGGCCATCCCCCCTTGGTGGGGGGA